TGCAAAGTCTGCCGAATCAGCTAATTTTTACTAAAAACAACAAAAATATTTTCACATAGGTATATGTTGGACTTCAATAATCAAATGAAACAAAAACCACAATAGACTTAAGCTAATTTGTTTAAAAAATATGACAACCAATAAGCAAATTAACAGTAATAATAGGTATATAAGACGTGAACCATGCTTACTGTGATATTCTAGATTGCCAGAGGAATGTTGTGCTGAAACCGCTACCACTTTACAGCCTGTGAACTCCTTGTTGATCGTATCGCAAAGACATATCTATACTGCGTACATTACCAACTCAATACATATTGAACTTTAGAATGACCGTATATAACAAGCAATGTTCATCGCGCAATTCGTTAGCAACTTTGTTCTCGTGCGACGATCGTCCAGCCGCGGTCTAAGTCTTGTACACTTTCGTAAAGAGTTCAACGCGCGCTCAACAAACGCTCGTACAAAGTACACAGGATTATCTAAGCGTTGTAAATAATTGTTGACATTTCACTGTGTGCTTGCTCGTGGTAATTGAAATCTATCGAACGCTCTAAGATCGATAAGAATCCAGACTTAACGGTTTTAATGACGTATAAAATGTAATGCTCGTGTTTTTTTCTTAATTTTTTTTTCGGGAATCGATATTTTATTTTATGACTTATGAAGTGTATGATAGTTTTTGTAATGTACATAATAATTATTCGATTGCTTATTAGAAGATTTTTTCTGGTACTAATTTCGTGTTTACTTTATTGATAGGTTGTGTTTTGAGGACGCAGGAGTGCATAACATTTTCCTGCTTAATTATAAGCGAATCACCCATTCCGTCTTGTCTAATGTAATTGAAACATCAATCTATAGTATGAAAAAGTAGCATTACAATATTATTATCTTTACGCTTCGATTGATTTCACTTAAACAGTTCTCGGTATTTTAGTAAGTAGTAGTAGTCTTTATTTTATGGAGCATATGAGCTATATTATTATTCAGGCTTGTTTCGGTTTTCTTTTGTTTCATGACAGCTATAGCTTCTGTATTTTATATTGTTCAATTCCAGTCTTGATTCACTCTAACTGTGAGAAATCTGCCTTAATGTAAACAAGAACGAGTTATCGACGTTATCGGATAAACACAGTTATAATACGAACAGAGAGAAACTCATTTTTTTTTTATTGCTTAGATGTGTGGACGAGCTCACAGCCCACCTGATGTTAAGTGGTCACTGGAGCCCATAGACATCTACAACGTAAATGCGCCACCCACCTCGAGATATAAGTTTTAAGGTCTCAGTATAGTTACAACGGCTACCCCACCCTTCGAACCGAAACGCATTACTGCTTCACGGCGGAAATAGGCGGGGTGGTGGTACCTATCCGTGCGGACTCCCAAGAGGTCCTACCACCAGTGATTACGCAAATTATAATTTTGCGGGTTTGATTTTTATTACACGATATTATTCCTTCACCGTGGTCAGTCAATCGAGAACATTTGTTGAGTACGTATTTCATTAGAAAAATTGGTACCCGCCTGCGGGATTCGAACACCGGTGCATCGCTTCAACACGAATGCACCGGACGTCTTATCCTTTAGGCCACGACGACTTCAAAACTCATTTTATATATTTGACGATTTTTGTTAATGAAATATTGCTTTTCCGGTGAGTACTCTCGTACTGTTCTCCCATGTTTTATTCCTGACAGTTTCTGTGGTTACAGAGGAATCAAGATAAAAATACTATTATTGTTATGGGACACAGAAACAAGTTTGATAGTCGTGTCGACTGCGTCTGAACAGATAACGTTTATGTTATAACATCAGATTTCGTTACTTACATTAATTTGAAACTAGCAGTGTATTAAGACGTCGTGTGTTTCGAGGCTTCAACGGAGAAACACATTACAGATAAGACCGGAACATCTCCGTTTTCCCTTAATAAAGAGGTACTAGCATTAATTAAAACTCGTATCCAAACACGAATCAAACTTTAATAACAATATTATAATACTAATTAAGAATATTCATTAATAACAATGTTGTAATCTATATATTAATACGTGAAGTAAAAACTTGATATCCCTTTATACGAAAATTGCGCGGACGGAGGAGCATGAAATTTTCCACACTTATAGAGAGTATAGAGAAGAAGTGCACAATGCCAATATTTTTTTAAAATAATGCATAAAAGATACATTAAATCAATAAAGAAAACATTACACTCACCACATACTGTGTATTTGACGCACACACGCATGCATACTATTTACTGTCAAACTTTTGTTCTTGACGTCTGTTGTCAAATTGAGAATAGAATATGGTTTGTCTTTGTTAATATTTTTTATAGTGTAGTCTTGGCGAAATTTGTGATTATAGAAGTATAAAATACAATCATAATAGTGTACAAACTTACAATTCCAATTAATTATAGTCGAATTTCGACTACTGCGGGACCTCTAGTACTTACTAATCAATCAATCATATGAGCCTTTTTAATTTCGATAATTCTAGCCCTTACATATAATATACTAGCGACCCGCCCTCGCTTCGCTTCGGAAACATTAAAACACACATGAAACCAAAAAAAATAATTAAAAAAAGTAGCCTATGTTCATCAGGGACAATGTCGGCTTCTAATGGAAAAAGAATTTTTCAAATCGGTCCAGTAGTTTCGGAGCCTATTCGAAACAAACAAACAAACAAATCTTTCCTCTTTATAATATTAGTATAGATTTTTCTCTATTAGCGGTTTGCTGGAAGAAAACTCAGCGAAAGGGTGACTTAAACTCACATTCACGCTTAATATTTGAGTATATACTTTGGGCAGTTGTTTTATTTTGTTTACAATACGTCTTTTCGCATTAAAAATGTACAATTTCCAAAAATATTCGAAATTGAGTTAATATGCGGAATCATTTGGTATCACCAGTATCTTTCTTATAAATACTGTCCAGAGAGCGTAGTTTAGTTCTAGTTTTTTTTTTAGTTTACCTATATTTTGACTACTATTAACAAAATTAATACATAATTTTATCTTACTTCTTCAAAAGACAGATAATGTAACTGATAAAAATAAAAACGAAATGTTGCAAAGATGATTAATATTCAAAATATCATATTAATAAACCTTTAAAACACTCTCCTGTAAAATTAGTTAGTTTTGAGCTTTATACAGTTTTAATGCGAGAAGACGAATTTTGTGTAGATAGTATAAACAAAAACCCATTTTAGTTGTACGTATGTATATTCAAATGAACCTGCCTATACGACGTAAAAGTTAATTACGTAACGTTTCTACATGTCTTCGGTTTTCAATAAAAATTAATCATTTCGTAATATTCGCTGTCGCATCGCGCCGTGTACGTCCGCCCGGTGCCGTATCTTGTATGCAAATGACAGTAAAACTACCATAGTTTCAAGTCCAACGATTTGTTTTTTAACAATTTAATGGCGGCCGTATACCTACCTAATGTTTAATGTTGATATATTCAGAAAAGAACTGTAGTTTCGTTAACTGAATTCCATCGGAACAATAAACCACGGCGCAATGTTAGTTAAAATGTTCAGTTAGAAAAGGTTTGTGAAGATAATGTGACGGTGGGTTTTTTTTTAATTAGAATTTTGTAGTGCATTGCCTTCTTCGTATAATATTACTAAAAATACTATACTATCTGATGAATGAGGTACATAAGTAGATATCAAAATTTTTAACAGAAAAAATGCATTCATGCATGCTTACAAGAAAAGGGCGAATTTTAGTCAAATTTTTAAAATTTTATTTAAACAAACAATTATAATAACAGTATTCAAACTGAACGTAGGAGTATGTATCTGATAATACTGCATTCTTTAATAATATATTTCAATTAGTTTATAAAAAATAACCTCCCGTATCGGTCTCCAATTCGAAGCGTGACCTATTTTCTTTTAAGTTAAAATTAATTGCAATATTTGTGCGTTTTGATTATTGACATCAAAAATGTTTTGATGTCAGTTCCTGACATAACACGAATTTATGTGAATCGATAAAATTCAATAGCATTTTTTCTTCGAAAGCATCAAGCATTAACCATAAAAACGAGTTTAATCTACCTTTATAATTTTATAGTCTCAAGCGTACGTTAAGAGTTACTTTTGTGTCCCATAACACATATTTACATAACTCGAAACACTTTAATTTATAGTTTGCAGTTGGACATGTGCCGTGCTGCTTCCAAACAAATTAGAATTAACTAATAACCTCTCCGTCCAAACAGCAATTTGATGAAGAAATTTGTTTCGTCTCAAGTGCTGGATAGCACATCCTAAAAATATAGTAAACAAATGCTTGGATAGGATTGCTTGGATAGGATAAATAAAAGGAGTACATAGTTGATTCCTGTTCGTAATTTACGGTTACCCAAGGTTACATTTGGATTCCCCAAGAGAACACTTTCGGTGCACTCGAGTTAAACAGTCCGGTTTATCAACACCAGCACGGGCCACAATGCGTAGTTATTAAGTTTTATTACGTGGTGGCTTTTTTTTTTAGTCCAACGCATACCTGAGTCTTTCTCGACGTTTACCTGTGCTTCGGAGAGGGAGTAAGGGACTGTAGAACTAGTGATGTTTAGAATCGGCAGTGCTGTTCCCTAACACACATTAAACACGCGTTATACCTGTTACAATTTATTTAGAGCTTGCATTAGTAAATGATTAAGTAATTTTGGTGTTTCTTTAAATAATGGCTTATTTTCGGTTTTAAATGAGTAGGTGCTGTTTTAGATCGGTGCGAGCTTTTGACCGTATCTTTATCAAAGATTTCGCTTTTAAATAGAAACATACGTAATTACTTTTTATCTCATCGTGCACGATCTTATCACGTCAAAGATATCCATTCAAGGATATGTACAAGAAAACCAAATTTCCCGCCCAAAGTGTCGATCATTGCGGTAACGAGTCTGAAAAGCGTTAGATCTGTGGGTGCGCCCGCGCAACGCAAGCCTCCAGAAACCGGCCGGGCCAGTACACGATGGAAGTTAGTGCCGGGCGCTCGTGTCTGAGGCAGCTTCGCGAGTGATGTCGCAGCATGGTCGCTGCTCGTGCCTTGTTGTGGTGCCTGTGCCTTGCCGCTTTCGGGACGGTGGACGCCGCCAAACACCGCAACCACCATCCCGTCAACTCAAGACATAAACATTCGGAATTCGTTAAAGGAAAAAGTAAGTGCCGCCCACGGATCCAGTGCGTGTATTATAAATTGTGAAAGAAAAAAAAAAAACAAAAAAAAACAAATGTAGTGTACGTTTGTAACGTGACCTCAATCGGTGGAACAAAGCTGTAAAATAGCGCCATAAACTTGTAGCAATAGACTTAGTACGGTCTAATCGCGGCAATAAAATAAACAAAGCTTATCTCGAGGCTACAGACGTAGCCTTATATAGTTCGGAAAGCTGGGTGTCGGTACAGTGAACTGAACGAGAGGCTGTGCGCAAGCATGGCCCGTCAACGCGAAACAATTAAATCACATCTTGCCTGTGACAATGTTCTCTCAGGGAGCGTCAAAAGGATGCGACTCGAAGTCCTTTGAGACCAGTTTTAAATAGGCAAGGTGCGCTTTTGTTAAGCGTTCTGACTTCCACGCTTGTGCAGCTTTTATGTGCCACGCTAAGATCGTGTTAAATTTATTTTAAAACTTTAACAAATATACTTGTTATTGAACTTAAGCTTGATGATGGCATGGTAAGCCAACGTGATTTCTTAAAATATATTTTTTAAAGATCATTTGCTCACGAGAAATCCTATAATAAGCCTAATGAATGAAAATAAAGGTTTTCATCTGATAGAAGCTTGCATTAAAGCACAGCAAACAAAAGCTTTACTACGGTATATTTTAAGGTACGGTACGGTACGGTACGGATGTTTTTGTTGTTTACCTTAAGCAAAAAATTGTATAGATTTATAAGCGAGATATAATGCAATAACAAATTTACAGGGGGGGGGGGGGGATCGAACGCTAAATTTAAAACGCATATCTAATATACATTTGTTACAATAAACAAAAAAATACCAACAATAAAATGACAGCGTCTTCGTAGTTGTCAATCTATTAAAAAAATACTATCCAGACAGACAAGCATGTTCAGGACTACAAACATTTATGTAATTTCTCCAGTGAATACTATAGCATATGATCTACTTGTTAGCAAGCGGTCACCATCTCCGCGAACATCTACAATTACTGACACAGCTAAACTACCCACTAAAAGTAATATGTGTAAAATTATATGTGTATAGTCAAATTTTCCTAAAAATAGTCTGCAGCTTACGTGAAAAGCAAAAAAAAAATTCAATAAATGTCGCCATAAAAATATTGGCGCCACAACACACACACACACACGCCCACTGTAGTATATATTTAAGGCGCGTAATAACCAAATTATTGACAATTCTCTAGCAACAAATACACGCAATAGAGTCCTGAGTATTGTTTTACCAATAAGATTAGCTCCATTTGTATTAGATAATTGAAGCCAAGGCAATAATAAAGGTGTTTTTCTCAACATATCGCATACGCGGGTAATCAAACATAAATAATGTTTGTTAGCTAATTAATTATTTTAAACGATCTCTGACATCTTGTATGTGATAAACAAATTTAATTGAATTCTCTGATAATTTACATACAAATACGATACCTTTATCACATACATAATATCAATTGAAAATCTTGGTAATGAGTTGTGACCTCTGCCGTTTCTTGGTGTAGATATAATAATAAATTATAAATAAAGCATAAATCTCACTTAGTTATTTGTATGAAGAGGGTAAGTGAGGATAACTCGGAATGTCGCACAGATATGGACTTTATGTCAAGGTAGGAAGTCATATATTTTTTCACTTTTATTATTTATTCCAAAGTCTGCTCTGGTCCCGTATTGTAACAAAGCAGTATCATTATTGCCGTAAATCTTAAGCAGCAGTAACTATGAAATCTACAATCACTCAAATCAGTTAGTCTGAGTTGTGAAGGACTGAAACTTACAATGGAGCTTTATATTATTGCCAAAAATAAAGCACGTTTTATTTAGCTGCTCTGAAAAAAAAAACACCAAACATTATTTTTATAACCGCGACTCAATGGCCTATTGTTTTATTATAGTCATTGGTTTGAGTTTAGCGAAAACTTCGTTGTATTTTTTATTTTATTTTATTGGTACAACATTTTTTTATTGGCAGGCTTGAGAAAGCATTGGCACGCTTAAACTGTTTTGAACTACATTGTTGTACATATAGTGTCAATAATTCATTAGACAGGTAAATATCGTCATTCGTAATTGGAATTTGTAATTTCATCAAAAGAAAAGTCAAACGACAAGCAATTGCCTACTTTTGCTTTGGAATGCTGATGAATCGTTAGAATCGAATGTTTTGAACAATTTGTGACGCATCAATGGCAAAATAACGGTATCTTGATAGTTATTTCAATGATTATGTTCTTTTAAAAAAATTTAGAAATGTTATATTCGAATTCATTAACATTTCTTAGTTCATAAAACTTCGTTCTAAATTCCACACTTAAATTATTTTAATATTAGATTTTTGTGTGGGAAAATGATGACCTTCGTTTATATAGTTTGTAATTTAATACGTTCGTATAAAATTAATCGAAGTATTAGTTTTAAAATTTTTTTGCATGGGTGCCACCAGGCGTTAAGTGATTCGTGAAAACCATAGTGGATTAGTTCCCGATAGCTTTATTAATTTTGTACATCTAAAATCAAGATGATCTTCGCTATCGAAATGATTCCTTTCGGAGGCCGATGCCTTATCCATTAGGCCACAGGGGCTGAAACACACAGCTGAAATAGCCTCTTAAGGCTATCAGCATAGGGAAAAAAAAATCCTTTCGTTTGGACAAACATTTTTCTACTTTAACAAAATTTAGCTTCAGTCTCTTTCGTCTTTCGTTTTCCGAAAACAAGCACGTCATTTAAATATCATATTATTACTAGTACTATAATACTGTGATAACATTACAAGTCTCAATAATTCAACAAACTAATCAATATTTTTCTCTGGTTGCATTTAATGTTACTATAATTCTGGAATATTCGTTCGTTTTATCTTATTTCCCTCGTAAATTATACTAAAATTTTTATCATTAGCGTTTTATTATGAACATTAATTGCGAATGATATAAACGGATTTAATCGCACGAGTACGAACTCGATCAATAAATAATATAATTGTGCAGGAAAATATTATTATTCTGTTGTTACGTGGCCAAGGAGAACGTGTGTAAGGCGGAGTGTACATGTGTGTTGTTTTTATTAATTTTAAAGAATGATAAGTTACAAAACTGCTTTTTTATTAATTACAGTTTTTGTTAGTTGCAATTTTTATTATTAATTTTTTTATTAATAATGCAATTTAATTAATTATCATCGAAGTTTGTTGGGGGGCAGGTAACCTACTAAATGTTATATGGTAATTAATGACAGTAACCGATGAAAACGTATATCAAATAACTGATTTACCCAATAGTTTATTCCAAATTCTATTTACACAGCAAGAATAGCTCATGTTAATATATGAACATCGAAATTAGAAGTACAAACTTTGAACGAGGAGTAATTAATGTAAAGTTAATTTATATAGAAAATTCGAAAGCTTAATATGAAATATATGAGCACAAAGCACCATAGGTCTTTGTTTTCGTTCAGGCCAGTAACTCGACGCTCTAGTAAATTGAATCTAAACATCATAACGAAATTCTGTATAAACTTATTGAATATCAATCTTCATACTGGTACTGGTGGTAGGACCCCTTGTGAGTCCGCGCGGGTAGGTACCACCACCCTGCCTATTTCTGCCGTGAAGCAGTAATGCGTTTCGGTTTGAAGGGTGGGGAGCCGTTGGAGCTATACTTGAGACTTTAGAACTTATATCTCGAGGTGGGTGGCGCATTTACGTTGTAGATGTCTATGGGCTCCAGCAACCACTTAACACCAGGTAGGCTGTGAGCTCGTCCACCCATCTAAGCAACAAATAAATGAATCGTATTGCATAATTTTAAATTTACACATAAAATAAGAAATTTAACCCATAACTGTTTAGTAATAACGATTTTGGTTTAAATTTAAGAGTTAATATTTAACATACATCAAAACGTTCTCAATATGTTTCGTTTAAAAACCTGTCGGTTCTAAAAACCATGCTATAACTTAATTATTTTCATTCACCGATCAAACAATTTTTTTATATTAATCGCACAATTCATTCAGCCTTATTATAATAATATGGTTAATAAATTGGAATTAACGAATTATTTACGAAAATATTTGCAAAACAACATAGCACATGTATTAAATCAAGAATATATTTTACGTACTAAATATTACGTATTAGGTACGTAACAATTCTACAACTTTGCGTATATAGTTTATTGATAACAAAACATTGAATAATTTGCGTTACAGCAAATATTTTCTTTATCAAAATTGTTTTGTACAAATCGAATTAAGCTGGACTGAAAAGAAGTTGGATCGCTCACAACAGTTAAAACAACATTATTAAAACAAATTTATTATAAAAGAAAGAACACAATATTCCTAACCTAAAAGTACATGTTATTATCCGCAACATGCTTCGTCAGATGCATCAGTCTCTTTACAGTTGACATAATACACTTTTACAGGTGGTAGGACCTCTTATGACCCCGCACGGGTGGGTACCACCATCACCCTGCCAATTTCTACCGTGAAACAGGAATGCGTTTCGATTTGAAGGGTAGGGCAGCCGTTGTAACTATACTGAGACTTTAGAACTTATATCTCACGATGGGTGACGCATTAACGTTGTAGATGTCTATGGGCTCCAGTAACCACTTAACACCAGGCTGTGAGCTCGTCCTGTGTGTTAGTATTTTTTACAGGCAAGGGCTTAGAATTTTTCTATACGGAACATATTGTCATCATGTAGACCGATTCACACGAGCGCATAAATGCATAAGAATGCGCACTGTACCATGCGTTAAAACAGATTGTCGTTACTGCGCAAAAACACATTCGAAGACTCGTAAAGCTCCTTACCTGTATTCGATGTTTCGAAACAGTGAGTTTGTAATAAAATATATTATTATCCAAATATATTATCTCAACGAAAAAGTAAAAAAAAAAAACGTAAATAAAAAATATTTTTTAACCCAAAATAGTGATTG